CAAATAGTACCAGATGCCTAAGGAATGGAAAAATTAATACAGACCTCGGTGTCCATGTTTAATCAGATGAACCCCATTCACACGGTCTGTGTGAACAACCATGCTTTTAGTCACAAATTTCAAATTCACAGGAAAAGACTCGGTTTATGGAGCACTTCCTACATCTGTGATTTATGCAAAAAATGTAATTGCTAAAGAAGTGAAGAAATTTTTCTTCAACAGAGAGAGAGAGCAAGTGAGATCTATCTCCCTGCCTTGGCAGAAAGGAGGATAATGAGGAAGTATAAAAGCTCCTTTACCCCTTTCCAACACTGTCTGCCCTTATTCAGGGGCACCAGGAGGCACACATGTGCTCCTCAACATTATGGGTTGGTGACTTCATGGTGCAAGCACACTTGGAGCAAGATCCACATCAGCACATTCTCTAAGAAGGGCTGCAGAAACATCAAAGTTGTCTTGCACGAATCCCTCATAATTGTAATGTGTGAGCATCTCAGAACATTTAATGGGCTTATCTTTACAATATTTCCATAAAATAGAAAACTATTGGTGAGATAACTCCATGTTTTCCTGTCTCTCTCACTACAGTCATCTATTGCTATAAAATTTTCAGAGATATCAGCACAAGCCCTGAAAACAGGAACACTCCAAGTGTTCAAGAAACTGCCTGAACACTTCAACTGTTCAAGACAGGACATCAGAGTCGACTGATGCTTTAGAGAAAAATAAGCAAAAACCAAACCAAACCAAACCACTAAATTACATCACACTCCACGTTATGGAATACTTCATGCAAGATTAAAAAAAAAAAATTATCTTTGAACTTTGCATTCATTTTAACACTTAATTTTAAAATTTGGAAAAATACCTCTTTGTTTAGAACTCCACATGAACAGCTAGAAGAGATTTATAATGAATCAAGCAAAGTTTAAAAAGTATATTATTAGGTTAAGTAACAATTTTTTGGACTGATGGATTTATAAATTACAACAGAAGAGGGATCGATTTACATTTGTAATCTTTTTCAATTTTAGCAAGCATTAAAATTAAAGCTGAGATCATATTGACTGTAACAGCATGGTTAAAATGATTCAGAGTCAATTTCAGTATGATAATTGTGACTAATGCTAAATAAATATTATATTAATCTAAATATAGATCCTGAGTAACTGGAAGATACAAACTAGCCACTTAAAGTGAGGGAGCATCTGTTATTTCTGTTTGTACACTGGCTTGCCAGCTTCTGCCACTCACTACAGATGGACAGACAACTTCCTCATCAGGGAGCTGATAGGTGCAGTCCATTTTTACTAGGGTTTTTTTGCCGAATTTGGAAGCAGCACCAAACACAGGCTACAAAGAGCCTCAAACATATGCATCATTTTACTTCAGATCTGAGAAGTGCAAAATCTATGATGACACTGGAATGTCATACACTGGCAGAGCAAAATGGATTCATCTTTGCTGTTGTTTGTAGAAATTTACTGAGGTAAATTAGCTACTGAAAGGCTTCTTGGTTTTTCCCTGAGTGGATAAAAACTTGCCGAAAAGCACAAGGAAATAATCACAAATTACTAGAACTCAAATTTAATAGTTAAGAAAAAAAGGAAATATTTCCATTAATTTACTGTAGTAGTCATGAGTACAAAATTTCCTGTAATAATAATCAACCACGAGTTAGTATTTAATAATATTAAAAAACACTACTAAAAATTATCAATAAAATAAAATATTAGTGAGATTTGTCATTGTCAGATAAGGAAATGGTATTTAAAATTGGCTACCTATTAAAAAACAGTCACAAGATCAGACATAGAAGGGATCTAGGTAAAGACAGCATAATTTGAGTTAATTAAGCTCCCCTTTTTTTATCTGTTCTCAAATTCTGATGCCTCGCTATTTGAGACTCCAGAAAGGAGATTGATATATTTCTTTCATTCTTTACAAAATCATTCTTTTTATGTATCATTATGTTCTTCAGCTAGATATAGAAGCCTGTCATTATCTTGCAAAAAGACACAAAGCCTTTTGGAAAAGGTAACAGTATTTGAAAGAGATAAAACAAAACTTCAGAATTAATAGACATGGCGCTATACACATATTAATACACATCTGTCTACAGGCAGTATGATTTTGAATACTTATTAACAAAATCAAATGACATTTAAAGTTTTCCTTATCACATACAGTAATTTTTTAGTTTTGTGACTGAAGATTTTTAACATTTTAGCCAAGTATTAAAAAGAATAGAAATTCAGCTCCAACCTAAAATGTTTATTTATTGTCCTAGCTACTTGTATCACTTGCATGTCAAATTCAGAGTATAACAGGGTGATGCAATGCAAGTATTTCTGCCCTAAAAGCCAAACAGCACAATTCAGTTACACAGAAAGCTAAAGGAGAATTACAGAGGAGTCTTTCTGGGTCTTAGGTTACATGACTTATAGAAGCAGACAGTCATATCATAAACTGCTCAAGATCCATTTAAAATTTTGTTACACATTTTGGTTTGAGAATTTTTGCGTTTGCCACTCCTACTGGTAGGTTGTTCCAGAAACTCACCATTTTGGTAGTCTATCTTCCCACCTCCAGCATCAATGTATTCATTGCCAGATTACACTGCCCTATGCTCTCTTTTCTCCTACAACCCAACTGAAACCAATGAGATTAGTGAAATAAATAAAGAAAATTAGAAGTTCTTTAAAGAACTTGTTCTTAAAGCCCATGGCTAGATATTTAAATATTTCCCAGGCACTGAACATCTATTCAAATTATTTTTGACAGACTATTGGTGATTGGACTTGTGCCAAAACACAAGAATAAAGGCCCAATATTTAATATTTTAAGGGTAATAACTTTTTTAATACTCACAAAAATGAAAAGAAAAAGGAGCAAACTTTTTATCAATTTAATTCCAACATAACTATGCCTGTTCACAAAAGATAATAACAGCAAATGCTTTGAAACATGTTTCTTATTACCATATAAAATGTGCTTTACAGAATTATGGCTGGAAGGGGCCATTAAATCATTACCATAATACTGTATGCAGACAAACCTCCTGGCATATCCAAGATCATAAATTCACCTAATTACTGCTGCATTAAGCCTCAGCAATTGTATATGGCTAATACACATCTCCAAGGGTAAAACCCAACCTTGTTCAGAAATGTCCAGAAATGGGGAATACAGCACTGGTCTTACATGTTTGCTCTGAGAGTTAAACTAAAAAAGTACTTAATTTTTTTGAAGGGTCTCACCTCAAATCATTGCTTAAAAATTGAAAGAACACTACTTCCATTGTTCAACTTCTATTTCAAGGTGGTTCTCTGCTTTGAATCCTCCTACAGTAAAATACCTGACTATAGAATATTTTCTGCTTGTGTATTTCAACTTCACAAACTCACTACTCCAGTGTTTACACATCTAATGTCACTTATACACTTTTTACCATAGGTTTGCACTGGACAGCCATGTAAAAAAAGCCTTTTAATCTAGTGCAAAGTGAAGTTTCACTCTCAAGTCACTGGTAAACATTCAAGATCTTTATGCTCTGACATGTATTAATTCTTCCAGGATTTGGTTCCACTAAAATAAATTTTGTTTGAACCAATTCAGTTCACAGGTCACTGTATCAGACAGTTTGACGTAACCATTATCTATCATTTCACCAGTCATTATTCCATCTGCTCCCTAAAACTGATTAATCATTTGCAAAAAGTGTAATCACCATCTGTATTTTAGGGACCAGATTCTTATTCAGGCTGAGTTAGACTGTCTTTAAGAATGTACATTGTTTTTTACAGTAACATGTTATATTGTGCAAATAAGTCTGGCAGAGTCTGGACCTCAGTATGGAAAAAATTACTTGCTTTTATTTTTTCTGAGCTGTTCCATTTCTAGCAAACTCACCTGTATCTCTCAAATCAACAGAGACCAACGGAGTTCACAGAAAAAAATTACGTCTAAGTGTTTACTTTGATTCACTGAAGCCCAGTATAATAAGCTGATGCAAAACTATTCTATAAACACTGCACACACTTCAAAACATTAACAGCATGGGTGTTGGTGTGTATTAATTTTTTTTTTGAGGCTATAGTTCTATAAATTTCTACCACTTACTTCAAAATAGATGTAATTATTTCCACAACAGACAATAAATATTTAAACCAAGGAAATTTATCCCTCTCCACCACCCCGCTTCAAAGATACTTCTATCTTTCAATTCTAGACAACAGAAGAAGAAAAAAACAAACAAAAAAAGCAAAAAAAAAAACCAAGAAAAAAAAACACACACACAAAAACCCCACCTGCTATTGAGGGACAAAAATCCTTTGAAAATCAGCATGCCAGATTTGCAGCTAAAATATGTCACCCTCCAATGAAAAATGCATGTGAATATGTACACAGGTCTTTGGATAGCTCAGGAAGGTGGTTACTGACTGGAATACTGTCACTGAGATAACTCAAACAATTTGATTATGAAGGGTATTGTGCTTCTGAATGACTTCCTATGTAAGCCACTTCTCATACCTTAAAGGAAGCCAGAGGAGAAAAATACTCTTACTACCATCTAAGAGCTGAACAACCAATCACTCACACCCAGAAATGTGTGATGGTGGAAGTCTTTTTAGTATACTTCAGGCAATATTCTAATATATTACAACAGTGAGGTCGTTTGCAGTTCTTTAATCAATTATGATTGTGTGATTTCCCAGGAAACATTTATACTCATTATCTGATTTGTTACTCATTTAGGTTACAGTTTTCAAAATTTAGAGTTTACAACCAGAGTGTGCTGTGAATTACAGTTTTGTTTTATTCTGTGCTATTTCCTATAGTCTAGATATCACTGATGATTCAATTAAATCACATGGTCCTTTACACACACACACACACACACACACACAAAAACCTATTAGTGCATAACAGATTTTCAGATTCTAATTTTCCTAGTTCATCTGCTTAAACAAGAAAGAAAAATTGTCCATAGTATTTACCTGTAGAAGGCTGGAGGAGCAGCTTCCCTCATTCCAAAGCTGCCCTGATCATTTTCAAGGTAATAGGGTACCTGTTGGCTGTGATGATGGATGAAGGGTGAGAGTTGGGGTGCCGTTTGCAAGAATACCACCGGGCTTGGTGGGACACTGTTCAGTGAGTGAAATCCTGCCAGACTGCTGGACCCAAAAGATTCAGAAGTAGGGGCGTAACTGAGTGTAGTAGAGCTGTATACTGGAGCTGTAGTACCAAAATCATAGGTGGCTCCTTCTGGGTAGTTAAAAACTCCTGTCTTGTTGGTCTCCACGTACATGTCGCTGAGCGATCTTTCCAGAGGAATCTTCAGCTGAGGTCTGCTGAGTGTCTCCAGTTCAGTTCCTTGAATCTGGTGCAGCAGGGTAACTCCAGAGGTTTTGGTGTGAAGGGTCATGGTCAGTGCTAATGGCAGTGAGCAAGGAACATATCTGCTTTTACTGTCAACAGTGAGATCGGCAGCTGGCAGTCCACCTAAAAAAAATACCAGAACCTATTCTGAGGCTCAGCAGAAATCGTAATAAAGCAGCACTACACAGGTATTCCTTTAATCTCGGCAAGGAGGAGGATACAAACAAACGCAGAGTGAGCAAGGAAAATGCACATTCTCTCTCTCTTCCTCCCTCCCTCTCCCTCTCTCTAACTTTTAGGAACTCCTCATCTGCGCTAATATGCATTACAAGGTATTGGCTGCGAGCCAGGAACTCTTGCCTTGTGCCGACATTGGTTTAAACATCACTTCAGAAACAATTAGTTTTGGAGTTATACCAAATAATTGTCCCTCTAAATGTTACTTAATTCTTACTAATTGTTTAATTTTTCACTTCAGGGTACAGCGCTTTGCAGCAGCTAACGGGAAAGAACACTTAAATCTAACCAGGAAGAATAGTCCAGTGGCAGGCAGATTACTGCCTTTTTTCCTTAGCAGGCTCCAATCTATCTGTGCTTATCTCTCCTCCTGTTTGATTCATTTTCATGTTTGTTAGAAATATGTAATGTGTACATTGCCACGACCCTGGGTAGGACTATGCTGTAACCGAGATAGGGTAAAGCAGAATGTGTGTGTGCAAGCGCGCGCGTCTGTGTGTCTGTGTGTGTGTGCGTAACAAGCCTCAGTCAATAAAGCTAGCTAACAAAATTGAAGAGTGTATGATATCTATGCACAAGAAAGGATTCATAATATGTTTTCATCAGCAACAGCAACTCGCAGTTACTAGTATAATAGTGACATTTAAAAGCAAGGAAAAGCTTTAGACTAGCCTAGAAAATTATGTCTGCTTCTTTTTAGGCTGTAAAATGATGAAACAAACATCATTCAGATTTTGCCACAGTTAGGAAATAATTATTTGATTTCGTGACACATGAATTGAATACAGGAAATTCTTTTTCCTAGTCCTGTGAACAAAACCTCAGCAAACTTGAATTTTGAAATCAGACTAGATAATCAAGTAGCCTAAAATAATCAAATGGGACCAGCTTTAAAATAAACTGAACTGCCTCTGAAAATTATATTTGGAAAGAAAGAAAAAAAAAAGGAAGAGCAAGAACATAATGAAAAGGTGTGGCATGCATGCTTCTTCTTGCAATCTCATTCCATATAATTTTAGCTTCGCACAAACCAGTTCTCCTGAACGAGCTAAATGAAAACCTCCAGAATCTGTTTCAAGCTCTCTAGCTTTATTGCTGTGGTCTGTGGTTCAGTCAATTAAATAGGTTAATGCCAACCCTAAATGCATTAATATATGGCCTCCAGTTAGTATGCTTTGAATACTAGCAAAGTCTATGCTATACTTAAACAACTCCACAGTTATTTGGCTCAACCTTCAAAAAAACCAAGAAACTGAAAAAATGAATACACAGCTCGCTAGAAGCTTCAAGAAAAGTTTACTAAAACTGGTTTTATTTTGGTAATAATACTATGTTTTCAGAACTTCTACTAAAATAGGCTAAGTTATTTATATTTGCAAGATTATTCTGAAGCAATACACATTTTTACCTTTGCAGGCACACAGCTAAGACAGCAGCACACACATAACTATGTACTTGATCCATTTCCTCATCCCACCAGCCACCCTCCCTACCCTGTTCAAATTTCAGATCGTAGACTTTGATCAGAGAGATAAGCTTGTTTAAATAACACTGGCCTAAACATGTTCCCAGTTAAAAAAATAATAATCAGACAATCATACCCAGCAGTTCAGAAAGTCTTCGAAGGGTTATTCTGAAAGTATGCCAGACAGTGTGAGAGAAAAAAAAAGAGAGTGTGTGCATGTTCTCTTAGAGTGGGCGACCGTGCATCTGCAGAGACTCACAAAACAGCAAGTAAGCAAAGCTCTCAGCCGCCAGGCTGCAGGGCTACACAGGCTGAAATGAATGGCAGTTACAAGTTTAAAAGTCAGCCACTCTTACACATTTCATTTCATGCTTCATAATACATAGAAGAAGCATTTTCTCTTATTAAGCTGCATAAGCTGAGAATTAATGTGAATCTGCCTGCCATAAGAAGTATATACTTCTATTGTGTGCTACAAAATGGACTTTAAATTTTTATCTAGCATTATCCAACATGCATGATATGTTAGAATTACTACATTGACATGCAATAGAATGCTCCAGCATAACAGCAATGCAGAAGACAGAAGTGTGCAAACAGAGAGCTGACTTCTGAGTGTGTCCTGTGCAACCTCAGTGCTCCTTGCACGCAATTTTTAAAAACCTCACTAATTATTTTTGGGGCATGGTATTCAGGGGGAGGTTTTCAGAGAGACAAATATTTAAAGTTTCCATCACATGCAAACAGCATTAAAAACACTGTGAGGTTAACTTGAACCACCTTCACTTCTGCTCTGTACCATTTAAACTAGGGACCCTGTGAGCAGCTTTTCACAAGCCACAGTCCCCTCACTAAAAGGGCTCGTCAATAGACAGCTGCAGTACCTGCGCAGCACACAGCGTGGTACACATTTCAAAACAAAAAAAATGTGAGTACCACCAACAAGATCTTGGGGACTGGCTGAGAACCTCTGTGATAGCATCCTCTAATGTCTGGCTTACTTTTCCTGTAGAAGAAAAACGAGGGAGCAAGAAAGGGCAAGCTGGGGTTGTCGGTTAATCAAGCCAAATCCCACGAAGAAGTTGATTTTTTTACTTTTGCATATTGAAAAATATATAGGTTCTTATTCTGCTTACTATATATGGTGTTTTTAGATATAAAAAACCTATGAAATGCAACAAATTATTAGAGGGAGATTTTTTTCTTGTCCTATGTGATATAGACCATGATGCTTGCTCCAGATTAACACACACTGCTTTCACCCTTCTTCAGAGATGGCATTAGATGCATCTGTCTGTGGACTCACCTTCTAGAAAAATGAGATCTAGGTTTCTAAAACCTGGTATTAGTGCTTAAAGGTCAAGACTTACTTCCCTAGCCAATTTGATCACTCTGATCTAGTACATGTCAGATTTTACATGTTCTAGAATATGACAATATTGCAATACGGAAATGTGTACAGCATATACCAATATTAGTTGGTGCTTTTTAGCACAAAGTTTATGTAAAGATTTGGTTTTGCTAAATCCCACTTCATGTATGCCTTTAAAACTATGCAGGTCTCATACAGAAGGGCTTGCCTCATTCGTTGTTTTGTTTTTTTAAAATCCTCTGTAGTAACAAGAGAGAGTAAATAAAAACATGAATTGGCTGCAGCATCTTCATATCTAGTGTTAGACAGATGTGTTCAAAAATACTTAGTCAATGGGAAATTTACCTTCTCACATCTGGTAATTTCTCCGCTGATGTGCACCCAGCTGCAGACATGCTGCCCTACATATTCCTCTTACCTTAATGAAGGTCTAATATTGTTTTGGAGTTGCTGATCACATACTACAGGAGAAAGTCATCTATCATAGATACATAAAAGTAGAGAAAGAGCAACTGATTCTACAAATTCTGAAGATTTGCTAAATTTACATCAGAGATAGATTGGGGGGTTTACTATATTTCTGAAGTTTGGGAGTATGCAAATAAAATCTGGCTTTGATCCATCCAGGTTTCTGTATACACAAGAAGGAAAGAGAACAGCATTTAAGGAACACTGAAGAAATAGGAGGGAGCAGTCCACTGTGACTGAGGAGCACTACAGACATGTTGGCAAGGAAGGTCAAAGTAGAAATTGCATCTTCATACATAGAGACTTTTACTGAGAATTAGTTGAGGTGAAAACAGTGAGGATTCAGATACTACTCTTCTCATGGAAATGAGAAATATATAGATTAGATAAATTGAAGTGGTTGATTAAAACCTTTGTTCCCCTTTTTTAAAATGGTAACCTTTCTGTTTTACTTGTCTAGATAGACCAGAGTTCCAGTGCCCAACTCAGATTTTCCAGAGTATGGAATTTACTCTAAATTACATTAATAAAATGCCTAGTGCAGTAACATCAAAACTTAATCATATTTCTACTGCTCAGTGGTTAAATTAGCATCATTTACAGTTAAAAAATATTTAGATAAGTTTCTAAAGGCAAATTTTGGTTATTATGATTCATTGATGAACAGTTTGCTTCTAGTTTATTTTTTTTTTAATTTATTGACAGACAACTAGAGTGATCAGATTAAGTAGGCAGACTTAATCTGCTAAATTGCACAATGCATTTTGGCTCAACTGGACCATCTGTCCAACACTTCAAAACCAGAACATAACTTAAAAAATCCCAAAAGCAGCCTACTTCCACTGGTAGTAAATATTGTGGCACCAGTGAAGTGGCCTGGGACACAGAAAAAGGAAATAATAGATAACAAAAAAATATTAAAAATATTACTTTAACTTATCTAAACAACTGGAAGGAGATGAAGAAATTCCAGTGCCAAGAGCATCAGCAATTTGCTATTGACTACAAGTCCTAAAAGCCATTCAGGGATGTAACAATAGGAATAGATATATTTTAGGGAAAAAAAAAAAAGAATAAGAATAAGAAAGGGCCTGAACATATTTTGTGTTTTGGACAAGATAGAACAGCAGTTTGAGGGAAAAGAAGATTAAAACAAAAATACTATACAAAGACTATTAACGTTATAGGAAAAAATTATAGAAAACTCCATCCTATAAAAGGCATTTTTAGCACTAGCTTTAGTAAGTATTGCAACAAAAAATGGTAAACTAAGAACTTAAAACATATACTATAAATTTTCCATAAACCTGCTGACAGTGAGAGACCATAAACTTCGTCACTTTGGTTCCACAGCTATAAAGATAGAAGCTTTTTTTAGCTGCTGCAATTAAGACTCTATTGCACATAGCAGGAGGAACATTATGTTTTTCCAAGATTCCACAGTAACATTACAGAGAAATTGTGTTGTCTTTAGTCCAGTGAGGAAACTCCTCAAGATAGACAGCTGGAGAACAGCACCACCTACCCCACAGCTTTAGAATTCTCTGGGGGGAAAAAAAAAATTTAAAAATTAAAGGCCTTGATACCACTAGGCAAAGAAGAAGCATTCTTAAAAATTCCTCAGGCTCTAAGGAGAGACAAATTCTTCATGCTGTTATTGGGAGTTTTTAACATTTAGAGTTTTATAAGTTGATACAAAGATGTAACAACTCCTATTCCCAAAAAAATTACCAAAATTAGTCATGGCACCAAAAGGTCAGGCCTAAGTTTTTGCATCCTAAATTTTTGGTTTAGGTTGGTTTTACTGCTAAAAGGGGAGCTTCTGCTTTTCCATGTCAGATGTAAGTAGGGACTTTGAAAACATTTGATCAAATTAGTTCCTATTGCAAACAGGGAACTGTGGAATACAATTATTCCATGCATATTTTTTCAATTTACAACATTTAAATATATTTTATTTTACCCATATTTTTTGTGAAAAACATACTACATACTTTGAAATTATCTGTCTAAACAAGAGAAATATTAGGCTTGGATTTTGGTAGAGCTTTTTGATAAAGTATTTGATGCTTTAAATTTTAAGACCTTGTTTAGAGCTATTTGTGATACTATAAAATTTTAGCCAATCAGATGGAAATTTCACATATCAGTGATGAGCTCAGACATAACAATTTGGAAGCATCTCAGCTAAATGGGAGAAAATTTTTTTCTTTTCCCTCATTTGAGATTTTCTAGAACTCTTTTTTGTAACAAAAAACCCTTTTGCTGCAGCAAATGAAGAGCAGGAACTTTGAATCTGGCAGGGAGTTGACACTGTGTGTCACAGAACTGCCTTTTGCTATTCCTCTGAAAGTGTATCCACATTTGGCCAACTTTTCTACTGTTGAAAAAATTGCACGTTTTTTAGAGTTAATATTTCTAAAAGCTCTTTCCTGGCTAAGCCTGCTCTCTCCTCTTTTAGATCTTAGTCCTGACTTGACTGGGCACAAAACTTCCCAAAAGAGTGACATGCTAGAGTCGAAACAAGAACAGTTACGGAAAGTTTTCCCCATTCATTACTCTTCTGGGGCAGAGTAAGAGTCTGGGCTCAAATGAGGATAACTGTGCCCGTTATAAGACTGAAGTCCAGTCCCTAGATGTATAGTCTAAATTTCCTGAAACCAAAACGGGACACCATCTCCCTTTTCAATTTTAGCATTAGAAAACCACATGTAGAAACATACCCTTTTCTAAAGGAGCAGAAGACATGCTGTAACATAACTAGCTTGTGCATTTTTTCAGTTTTTTGCACCTTAGATGGGACAGGATGAGACTAAATAATTCTGCCCAATTTATACAGAATAAATGACTTACTACATACATAAAATGGGCCAAACTACCTGAGTACACTGGACAAACTCAAAAGATATTAGCAAATACTGATGTTTCAAAAAGTTAGCAGATGTTTTCAGGGATACAGAAAAACAGAAGGAAAAAGACATTTCTCTGCTTTCCTACACAAAATTTTAACTATTTGTGAACAAAGATGTTCACTGGTAGAAAAACAACAATACCATGATTTAAGGTTAAGCAACATTCCTTGCTTAATAACAAATACAACATCCTAAGAGAACACTTCTCATGGATCTAGCTTCACATATAAACAAGAATGAGCTCTGAAATGCAAAATGGGAGTTTAGTATGCCATGTTCATAGTAATTTTTTTCTGTTTATATCACAGAAAAATTGAATGTAGATAGGCATCGCGTTTGGTAACCTCCAGCCAACTGGGACCTCCCCAGTTACCCAGGACTGCTGATAAATGACAGGAAATGGATTGGTGAGCACTACTGTCAGTTCCCTCAGTACTCTGGGGTGGATTCCATTCAGCTCCATAGACTTGAGTGTGTCTACATAGTGCAGCAGGT